AAAATTTTTTACTACTTCAGCAACATTTTTATCAATCATCATCTTAGTTTTCCATTGAGGCATCCTTTTAATATTACCATGAATTCTTGGCAGGAGACCATTGTTTATCAGATGATTTCTAATATTTTCAAAATAAGTCCTACCAATTCCCAACATATTGAGATAAGTTTCTTGACAAAGGAGTGTATTGTGATCTCAATGATAGAAAGTTCTTTTATTAGATCTAGTTTTCTTCTTAAGGCGTCTACTGCTGCTTATTGACCCACCATCCATTGCTTTTAACTGGGCCATTAAAAATATGTCCTGTTCAGACTTGGAAAGAGCTTGAAAGGATTCTCTTAATTCTGCAAATTGTTCTTTGGGAATTCTTGAAGAACAACCACAATCGCAACCTTTTTCTAAAAAATTTATTGCCTTTTGATATTCATTAGAACCATTGTATTTATTATTACTTTTCATATACACCTACCCCTATATATATAATTTTATGTTCACTTTGTAAGTTTTTTTATAATTGTTTTAAAATTGAAGTATATATATTGTGAGATGAAAATTCCTTGTCTCACAACAATTACGTATTTTAGTAATTGTATGCCTTTCTTTAGAATAATGTTTTATTCTAACAGTATCCAATTTACTTTGAGTTTGTTTAATTATTTATATGTTTTTGCCCTGTCAGTACCCTACTGACTCTGTGTTTATTTGGTTATATGCTTTGGTGTCTTGGCAGTAATCAGCTTGCTTAGGCTGTACCCTGTGAGTTGTAGAGTAAGTGTTTTAACCTCTCTTCCAGCAACGATTTCCAGCATGTCACAAATATATTTTATAATATAGTTCAAGTATCTTCCTTGATACTTCTGGTGTGTTTATATGGACGGTTCAGTGTTTTTTTAACTGACCACATCTAGCTAGGGTTTCCTCTGTTTAGGCGTTTGCCTACAAAAAATAAAAATAAAGAAATAAAATTAAAGAAATATGTACAACTATGCTTATCAAAGGCATCACCCTGGTAAGATAGTAATTAATTAATTAGTTACGAAAATATAATTTTCAAAGACAACAAGGTCAAGGTCAAGGTTAAGGTTAAGGACAGTGTATTTATTATGATAATATTATTTCAAGACAGAGATAATTAAAATTTTGAGTTAAAAACTAAAGATTACATGAAAGAGAAATTTACAATGTATTTATACATTTCAAAGGTTCTATCATCTAGGTCTACGATTTCTTTGAAATCCTAATTTATACTAATTAATATATTCCTCAATTAATAATTAAACCTTCTGTTTAGAATTGTTTCAAATAATTTCTAATTATCATGAGTCATGTAAAATTCTTTTGTTTAAATATTATTCTGAAATTTGGTCATCTGTTACATTTTAGAATGTTGGAATATTTATATTTCCAATATTTCTGTGAGTCAATTATTTTATTGGTGTTTGAATGAATTGGACTGGTTTGATCACTTGATCAGTTTTTCCGATTTTATTTGTAAATCATTTCCGATTTATATATTAGTTTCCCGTGATTTATAATTTGGGGCATGCTGCAACAAAACCAGACAAAGTGAACATTGGTATTATCAAAGATTTCAGGGATCAATATGTTTGTCTAACATCACAACTGTATTACCAATATAATGTGATTATGATATTTGTCTAGACAAAAATAATTAATATGAAATTCATCTTTCATGATGGTAACAAATGTTATTTTTTATTATTTATTTAAATATATTTTTAGCAAACATTAAAGTGTACTAACACTTAATTATATTAATTTAAAATATCAATTTAAAAATAATTACTTTGATTCTTTTCTCTTTTTGTTTGTTTTATCAATTTCACTATGTAAAGATATAGGCGATTTTTTCATTTTGATGGACCATCTCATTTGTTGTGTGGGTGTAACAGGTTCATTATTATTAAGTATATTTATATATCTAAAGTAATTCTGATCCACAATACGCTGTATAGGAGTTTTTGAAATTATTAAAATTTTTTGATAATAAAAGAGTTAAACAGAATAAAAAGTTAAACAACTCACTCGAAACTTAATTAAGAAACTCAATGCCCAAGAGATTTCAGGAAAATCAAGCACATTTGTTGGGAGGCTGAATTCAAATATCTTATTAAACACATACAGCTCAGGAGCAGGCATCTGCATTGAATATATTTCAATGTCTAGCTCTAAAATGTATTCAATAAGTTTATTAGATTAATATAATAAAATATTTATGGATTTACCATTATTATAATATTTACTTGATGTTATTACACCAAACACATTTATATTTTTGATATGATCTGATAGCTCTCTACTATCCAAGTCTTTTGAAATTTTTGTCAGCAAATCATGCATCATTATAGTAATCTTTGTAGTATCTTTTTTGTTTTTCTTTAATCCATCTAAAACAATTTGTTTCTGGTGTTCTATTACAATGATTTCCATATTTCCTCTCAAATAAGTCAATTTGATGTCAGGCACCAATGCCAATCTAACTCTCTCCTCATTTCCAAGATTTCTTCATTCCTTGTTAGCCAAAAGTTGACTACCAAATAAAAAGGGTTCATATAAATAAAAGTACAGATTCTTAAAAGATCTAAAATATAAAAATGGTAATTACTCATTGAGCCTTATTGAATAACACTCTTGACGAAATAAGTTATTGAAAAGTGGAGCATATATTACTGCTCCTATATGATTTTCTGAATATTGATCTTTGAAATAATTATTGTCCAAAATAAAAAACCCAGAACTAAATAGAAGAAAATATTATATTTTTAATATTATATTATATCATATAATACTGAATCTCATCCTATTCATTAATTAGATTAGACTTACAAAATGTTCACTACTGAAAAAATAAAATTATCTATTATTGATTCAGTATCCAATTTTATATTTATAAGTACTTGTACTTATCTATGAATTCATTAGCTTTATCAATGTTGGTTATCTGGAGTATTTCTTTTAGGATATTTTTGATTCTTTGGTTTTCAATTATATCATCTGTATATTTATTAAAATTTCATTTATATAACTCTGAAATTGTGATATATCCACTAGATTTGTTTTTCCTTTCATCATCCAAAGTTTATCACACCCATTTTTATGACATCGCTGTATAATAATTATAAAATTAAAATCTAATCTTTTGCATTTTAACATTAATAATTATATACACATCTGGTTATAAAAATTACCAAGAATCTGCATTCCCATAAATTTCTTTTAAATTTACATAAATACTTTTCAATTTCTATATTAAAAAAAAATAAATAATAATAAAATTTCTTCATTTTTTAATAATTAATTAAAATACATACATGATTAAAATGTGAACCAAATTTTGGTTCATTGTCCAAAATATCTTCAAAATCTATAATGTATTCATGATCGTTTGCTGATGGTGATGACGTTAATTCATTTTGACTAAAAAACAAAATGTCTATTTTAATTCTGTGAACTAGAGTGACGACGAGTGGCGGGCGATAACCACCACCACCATCCTTAAAACACTTACTTATGTTGTTCTTTATCTTCTTCTCTGCTCCTTTTCTTTTGACGTGGCATGTTTCTACTTACGTCAAGGTTTTACTTAATACTAAGTTAAACAATATTAAATGAGACAGTAATATTCAATGAGAATTATGAAATATAGGCGGATTTATTTATCCTCTCAAAAAGGTTGACACTGCCTAAAATTCTTAATATTAATTATGAAATTATAAAAACGTGTAATTCAAATTTATTTTCGTTTAAATAAAAGTTTTGTGATACAATCGACGCGTACACATCAATTATCTATCTTATTGGTTATTTTTTTTGGTAGGACAGGCGTGAATTGATTTTTTTTTTCTTGGAAAAACAATTTATTTTTTGACAGAGTCCAAGATGACAAAACATGAATGTTGTCGTTTGGTTTGGTTTGAATCTCCTAAAGAAAAGGTGTTAATAACTAACCAGAGGTACTTTTTTTTACTTGTATTGATATTTTTATTTTGGTTATTATTAATATTTTAATTGGAAATCAAAACGCGGAGCAGATCTTGTTGGGTAATTACAAGATTTTCATTGATAATATTGATAATATTTTACTTTTCGTAATCAATATTAATATTATTATAAATATTATAATCACAAGATATCAAGGCAGCACACCGTTGAATATGAAACATTTCAAATACGAAACATTTTGATATGCAATGTTTGATTATCGGAAATTGGCAGGCGTTGAAGCACGCACGCTACCTTGAACACATTACAGTCATTCACTCGTTCCTCGTGTACATAAGGCTAATCTGACTTGCCTCCCCCGATGATACAACGATGCAACTGAATTCCAGGGGGGGATCGCTCTGCCCTGGAGTTTACTGAGACTGCATCATTGTTAATGACACTTTCACTAATCATCCCAGACCAGAGATGGCCGCTACGTTAGCCAAAAAGTTGATTGTAACAATCCTACCTCTAGGATAAGGATGGCTCTGTAACCAAGTCGCAACTCTGCTGATGAATTGTAGTGCCATGTGAATATCCAGATCCATCAAAGCAACAAGAACCTGCAGCTCGTTTCAAGCACAGGAGGTTGCAATTCAGAGCAGGGTTTGTGGCCTTGAAATTGCATTTGGACTCTGATGTTAAGAGGGAAGTTGTAAAATAGTGTTTGTTTTGTATAATCATTTTCATAAATGCTCTGTTTTTTTGATACTAACCAACTTATAATTTTGGGTCTATCTTATAGATTAAAATTATTGCACGATTATGTACATCCTTGTCAGCAATATAGCCAACAAGAAAAAAGTCATAAAATGGTTCGGATTTTGTTTGGTATGCTATAAATTAATCATTTTCATAAATTTTCTGCTTCTCTTTAATTTTTGTTTGACCAACTGAATTTGATATTTTAGTAAATGGGGGTAGGGTTGTTGGTGAGCAGGCATGCCACTGACAAGACAGGGGACGCCTTTGAGATATACCAGCCAAACTCATAGAAAGGGATCTTTTGTCCAGACTTAGGGTCACATGGATGTTAAGTGCAGAAAATGTACACTATCAATGTATATTTTTTTCAACAAAATAAACATTTAAATAATTAATTGTTAAATATTATTACTTTTCTTTTCATAAAAATTACAGCAACCCAGGACTCAAAAATCTGAATTCAAAGCAGCAATCCAGGTTGCAACCTCCAGAGTTGCTGAATTTTGAACCAGTTGCAGGTGCCAACTTTTATGCTAGCATGGCAATAACATACAGCAATCATCACACAAGCACCAGCTATCAGTAGTCAATGCCCATATGATAACAGCCAAGCCTGGTCTGAGGAAAGATAAGGGAAAGTTTTGTCCAAAGCCTTCCAACTTGTGATGGACTTTACCCTTAGGAAAAAATTCCCATGGTTATAAAGGGTATTTGCATGTTTGTGATAGGAAAGTTTTAATTAAATCTGACACCTGCAATCAACATCAGATTTATTATTCATGAGCAACCATAATTGATAATCA